GACGAAAAGCTAACAAGCTCCAGGCAAGGGGGGAAATGGAGGGAAGGCAGGGACAAGGGAAAGGGCAAACGCAAGGGAGACAAATGCAAAGGGATTGTTGACTTTTTACCTAATAGGTAGGTTGGATACTGAAGGATACAATCAATTACAATCTGGATGCCTGGGCTGCCTCTCTCTCAATCTTGTTTCAAGTCAAATAACATTCTGCCACCTGGTCCTGGCCCCTCCTAACTTTCCTCTGCTGTGGTTTCCCCTCTGAGCACCTGTATATGATTCTCAGTACATGGTCACCTTACAAGTGGGGGAGGTAGGGCCAGTGGGCTGGGATGCAGGAGAAGGGCCCGTCGGGAACTCTCACCCTCTTTCACAGCTTCCTTGTCAAGCAAGTCCAGCAGTGCCCTGCGCTTCTCCTCCTTCCCCGCCAGGGCAAAGGCATAGGCCAGTAGCGCCCTGGTGTACACGTGGTTTCCTCCCTGCTCTGCAGCCATCTCCAGACAGAACAGAGCATTACGGACCACAGAGTGCTGTGTGGGGAGAGAGACATGGGCTGAGAGAGGGAGGGGAGAGGTCGCCCACTGCAGTCCCACAGTGCAACATTCCCTTTAACAGAGACTGTCTGGCAGCACTTTTGAACCAAGGGCCCAGTGCTGGGAAGCCCGCCTGGCTTTTACACAGTCAGCACATTCTCCACAGCCCCAGCTGTTCCTGCTACTTGCTACCTTGTCCCACGTGCTGAGTGAACATTTCCCACAAGCACAGCGAAAGCTACGCAGCAACATTTCCCCACAAGGCAGTGCACAGAGGACACTGAGATGCCTACCCACAATGCACCACACTTTTGCCAATCTGGCCTGATACTAGTTGAACACAACGCGCTGGCACAACTGGCCCAGTGTCAACTCACTGCACCAATATAGTCTTTTCGGTTGCTCGCTGATGATAAAACTTTTACCAGTGCGATTTCTGGGTGTGGAGCAGACCTAACTGAAGGAGAACAGAAATCAGCCCTTGATGGGGACCCATTTGGCTGGTGCCAACTGCCAAGGGGTTAAGTGTTATGTACCCAAGCGTTAAATATTTGTAAAACTCTAAGCCGTAGGCTTGTAAGAGAGGATCAAGCAAATGCCACCTCAAAAAATTTTAAATAAAGATCATATAAAAGGATTAGAGAGGAGACAGAACCAGCGCCCTGGACTGGAAGGGAAGCTGCAGGGAAATTCAAGTTCCAGATTTGGACCTCAATTTAAAGTCTTTTCTGACTGGATTTCCCCCTTTCTTAAAGGCTTCTCTCTCGGGATGGGAGGCTGTGACTTGGGGGTCCCCAGCTCTGTCTGTGGCTTGAGGGGTTACAGGTACGTACAGTGATGGGCAGAGGAATCTCCAGCAGCGCGATGGTGATGTAGGCAGAGAGCGTGACCTCATCGTCCACCCCGCCCTGCAGGGAACCACAGAGAGAGACATTAACCCCGAAACCCCACCCACTGGTCCCTCTTCCCAGGGGCGTTCTACATCCCTGTTCTTCCCACACTAGGGTAGCTTCCAGGTATCTGCCCCTCTTCTCCCTTCCCCTACCCATGGTCACTCCATGTACAGTATGGTTCTCCCCCGCTCTTGCCTCCCTTGGTAGATCCCATCTGCCCCATTTCCAAGCCCCCTGCCCCAGCCCCATGTGCTGCAGTGGCTGAGCTGTTCCCATGCACAGTTGCAGGCTTTCTCCGAGTCACTGGAGTCCTGTATGGGTCCCCTGAGGCCCATGGGAAGCTGGCTGGGCGGATACGTCACCTTTATGGCATTGTTCAGGAGCGTCCCGGAGCTGCGGAAGCAGCCATTTTCCTTCTGCTTGCCAGAGAGCCAGGCCAGGGCGTCCTGGATGTGCTTCTCCTCGATGAAGATGTGAGAGCGGGCCTGCGCGAAGGACTTGAGGACGAAGGCCGTCAGCCTGCAACAGAGAGCGGGCAGCAGTGAGAGCTCCCTCCCATGCCCTGTGCTCGCTGGAGGGGACGGGGTCCTGGGGCATCGCCAGCTTGAGAGGAAGCAGCAGGGGCCAGAGAGCTGGTGGCCATGGGCCAGGGAACCATTATCTCACTCAGCCACCTACTGACATGCAGCAGAGCCTGGGGGCAAAACCCAGCAGTCGTCTGACAGGCCACAGCAAAACTGCCCGTTTTTAGGACAGGAAGTGAGCCAGCTTCCTGCATTGGTTTCAAACGGCCGGGGCACAGTTTAGGGGGTAGAAGGTGGTTGTCCAGAACCCTTGGGAGAACAGCCCACAATCTTCAGTGACCAGGAATGGCCAGGACACTGGCTCTGCACTTTCTTATATAACCCCTTTGGGGTTTAGAGTGCATGACCCCTTTAAACCTTTTTCCTGGGGGGAGGGGGAGAGTAAGAAAAAAGGAGGGAAACTCCAGGGGGCAGCGCTGGAGCTCCAGGGAGAGGGAGAGGCAGAGGCAGCTGGAGGCCCTGGAAAAGTGAAGGAGGGAGAACCTGCCTGAGGCCTGGGACGGACAGGGCCGATTGGGGACACCCCAGGACAGGAGCCAGGAGGAGCACTGTGCCAGGGAGGAATCGCCCGAGAAGGACAGGCCAGAGCTGGACCCAGTATCACGGCTGCCGAGAGCTGCATGGGGCTGTGAGTACTGGAGCTTGTGACTCTGCATTGGGGACGAGGAGGGAGGCTGTAGCTAGTTAAGTGGGGAGCTGGTCGCTCTGTGTGGCTTTGCAGAGAGCGGCAGAAGAGGGCACCGGAGGGGTTTGCTGGGGGAAAGTTCACTGGCGCCAAAGACGACCAGGAGCACCCAAGACTCACCACCGGACTGGAACTTTGCTCAGGACTCCTGAACTCTGTGTGCAGACACATTGCTCAGTGTCTGCCCTTCCAGACTGTGCTACCACTGGGCCAGTGGGGCCTTGGCTTGGATGCAACCCTGTTTTACTGCTCCCCCTATATTTCCCCTTGTTGTTTTTCTTCTCTCATCCCTCTGTAAATAAATATTTCCCTTGTTATATCCACTGTACTTTTCCTGTGGGTG